ACTCGGCGGGCTGCCTGGAAGTTAGCCTGACGGTAGCCAGGAGGACACCCGCTGGGCCCCCATCACCCCTCTCGAAGGGCACAGAGCAATTAAAAGCCGGCCCATGGCAAATTGTGGTCCTTGGCCACTGGCTAAGGGACATAATCCCTGGGCATTGGCTGAGCTTCGTAATGTCCACACCCTGTCCGTCTCCTCAGGTCTGATTGCGAGCAGGGAAGATGGAGGCCAGGGCACCTGGGATGCGAAACACAGCAGCTGGCCGAGGGCCTCCCGGCTTTTAAGGAAGAGGTGCCATAAGGCCCCAGCCCGCCAGGCTTGAGGGGTGCGGGGGTCTGGAACCCTCTCGTCTCCTGCTGGCCCCTGACCTCCGACAGACACACTGCTTTTTTCCTTGACCCCGGGGCAGGATGGGATGGGGGGGTGACTGCCCATGGAGGGGGCTTCATTCCTCAACCCTGTGTGTGGGACTCTGGTGAGAAAGGGCAACGGGGGGGGGGGGGGGTCCTGGGACTCCCGCTTGGCGGGGGCGGGGGGAAGGGGGTCGACATTCAACACAGACCTTGGCCCCATTGTTTTAAATAAGAAATTTATTGCAAATATAGAAATTGATTCTCTCCATACAGGAATCTCCGATTTGAGGAAAACAATTTCGTGCCATTCAGTTTAAAACAGGAAGTTGGGAGGAGGGAGAGGCAGATACAGGGAAGAGAAAATAAATGAAGTTACCCCCCTAAAAGAAGAAAAGGAGAGGTTCTGGGCCCCCCCGAGGAAGGAAAGGTCCACACACAGCTAGGGTTCACAGGTTCGTAGCCCAGGGCCGGGAGTCCCCTCTGCAGCCCCCAAACCAGGTGCCAAGCCGCAGGGCCCACGGGGCTGGCGGCTCCTTAGGGAGGGAAGTGGGGAGGAAGGAGGGGAGGGAGGGAGGGAGGGAGGCAGCGACGATAGACCCCTGCCCCTGTCCAGCCCTGTGCTTGTTTGGTGAGGGCAAAAGAAGCAAGAGGAGGCCCAGAGCCTCCCGCCCACCCCATTCAACACCCCGTTCCTCTCCCTCTGCTCAGCAGCAATGAGGGACCTTTAATGAGGCCTGTGAGGCAAGAAGTATAAATACTGGTTCTGTCTTAAAGGTGGGAGGACACAGGGTCAGGAGGAGCACGGCAGCTCCTGGGCCGGAGGGTGGAGGGTGCTGTGCAGAAGTCTTGCTGGGGAGGAGAAAGCAGTCCTTCAGGTGGGCACACGTCAGCCCTGCCCCTGTAAGCCCCTTAGGAGCCAGACCCCCCTCCCTCAGGGCTTCTACCCAGAAAGAGCCCCGCTCAGCCACGAATGGGGTGGGATGCTGCTGAGGGCAGGCTCCCTCGGCCGGGGGTGGGGTGGGGTGGGGTGGGGTGGGGTGGGCGTGCAGAGTGGGGACACCTGAGGAGGTTCTTCGGGACATCCAGCCACCTGTCACCCTCTCCCTCTGGTCTGGTCCTCTTGGTCAGTCCTCTGGGCTCGCACCCCCCACCCCCCTCCCCCTGCCAGGGGGTCCCTGAGCCCCTCACCGCTCTGTCACCTTGTTTTAATTCTCTGCACAGTGTCCCTCACTGGGGAACTCTTCTCTGCACGGACGCCCCTTACAAGCTGGGACCTGTGACTTGTCCCCCATGCCTGGCTGCCATCTTGGACTCACGTCCCTAACTGGTTTCGAGAACCTAGAAGACTTCCTTTCTTCCCTTTTCTGAGCTTCTGTTTCCGCACTGTTAAATTTTCAGGAGTGGGGACGGACGGTGAGTGACGTCCTATCGGAAACCTTAAACAGACCCTCAGCCAGGCCCAGACTCTCCTCTGCGTCCCCGGTCTCTGGGGCTACACAGGCTTACTCTTCTTCCCAAGTGGGTCTCTCCACTCCCACTGCCCCGCAGATAGCTCCATGCCCCACCTCCCCCCAACCTGGACTCGGGCAGCCTCCATGGGCCTCCAGCACTGTCCCCTAGCAGGCGTGAGGAGGTGAGGGGCCTCCAGCAGGCAGGGGCGGGCCCTGGGACTCCTGAGGAGGTATCCAGAGGGGACTAAGTTTTTGTTTTGGTTTGGGGTTTTGTTTTTTTTTTTTCCCCCTCCAGACCTCCACATCTCACTCCAGGAAGGAAAACCATTAGCTCCAACAGACAGTTAGCAGTGCTGGCCCTCCAGGTGAAGGGAGGACCCCCCGCCCCGTGCCGCTCTCCCACAACAGGCACCCAGGAATTTCTTCTGGAGATTCTCTGACAGGGACAGCAAAGCCCAGGCAGGACCCAAGGCAAGAAGGCCTCCCCCGGGAGGCCCACATCTCCTCGGGCCAGCTTGTCCCCGATTCCTCCATCACCCCCTACTTCCCTTCTCTCCTGGCTGCCAGCCCTCCCCATCTGCCCCGGGCCCGCCGTGCTCATCGCTGTTACAAACACGGGGCCTCAGCTGGCCAGACTCTGTGACATAGGTGTTCATTTGTCTTTCCTATTTTGCTCCCTGTTGGAGAAGAATGATCCTGAAGAGGACACAGGACACAGATGCAGGAAAGCCTCCAAGGTGGGCTGCAGTGCACTGGCCCCTTTCCCAGATCAGAGCGACTGGCAGCTGAAGAAGGTCCAGCCTGGCCAGGAGGCCAGAGGCCCGAGTTCGATTCTATTCTGCCTCCAAGATTGGTGTGATCTAGGCTGGGAAGGTCAGTTCACCTCTTGGAGTGGCAAGACACTCACTGTTAAGACAGAGAACCCCAAAGAAAGATGGTCTGTGGTTTTTATAGGCCATCGTCAACCGGGAATGATGGGGGAATGGCAAGGGTGGGGGGCTTCTGCTCCCGCTGCCAGGAACCCTTTCTGTGGGAAGTGCCATCTCTGGTGAGACCAGGCCAACCTGGCCCTGGCTCCTTCCATGGGTTCTTCCCTCAGGGCCCCCAGCCTCCCCATGAAGCCCCGAGCTCTTAGCCCCCTGGATTTAGCTAGGTGACCGTGTCCTACCCCTCAGCCTGGTAGTCAAGTCACCCAGCCCTTCCCTCTTCGGGGGACCCCCAACGTCTTCATCTGAAAAATGACAGCAGGTGGGACAAAGAGGTCCCGGCACGCTCCCTTCCCTGGCAGGGAGGAGGGGAAAGGGGGAGGGTAGGAAACTGGGGGCCCCAAGGGGCAAGGCAGCACTTGTGGGCCCAACGTTCAGAGAGAAAGGAGACCAGGATGGGGCAGGGGCTGCGTTTCAGTGGCACCTGTTTTGGGTCTTCTGCAGAGCTGGACCCTCCCCAGGTTTCAAGAGCTGCTTGTCAGATCACGACAGAGGGAACGTGGGCAAGAGGGGGCGGCGGGGGGGGGGGACTGGGAGTCTAGACAAACTGGCACATATACGACAGATGTTTGCTCAGAAAAATACAGTAAAATCGTCATGCAAATATAACAGGAGTCTGCTTTCTCACACCACTGGCTTTGCCCGCTTGCTGTTCTCAGTTTTGCCAATCTGGTGTGAGGCAGGCTTGAGGGGGCAGGTTTCGGGGGTTGAGGGAGGTCTGCTCTGCACGTCCACGCTGGCCCCCTCCTCTCTACTCCCCAGAACAGTCTTTTCTTTGCAAATGTCACCCCCAAAGTGAGCCCTGGGCTTGGTCTGTCCCCCAAGTAGGTGTAAGAGAGGCACTCCTGTGAGCCTAGCAGCTCCCCCCAACAGTCCTGCCCCAGACTCTACCCCTGGCAGGAAGGTCACTAGACCCCCTCCAACCCAGGAGATGGCACTAGCTTTCCTGGTCAGCAACCCCCACACACAGTAAAGGTCTTAGTCTCACCCCAATGCCCACCCTCACCCCATAGCCATGCTCCCCAGATCTCAAGAAACCCAATGAGGTGATAAGCCAGAGGCTGGGGGGTCTCCAGCAGGGCTGTGGGGCGAGGTGAGTGGGCTCCTCCCCATCGGGAGTTGGGTGGGGAGCCAGGGAGCAGGTGGACAGGTGGCCAAGGCCATAGTTGTCCCCACCCCCACTGGCCCAGGTCCTTATCAAAGGTGAAGGGCTTCTCAGCACCCTGACAGTGAGCTCAAGACTGCAGTCTCAGGGCCCCAGATCTGCCCCACCTCCCGCCCCCACCCAGACTTGACCCTGAAAGCCCCTCGCTGTTGAGAAAGGCTGCAGCCACCTGACCCTGCTTTCCCTTACCACCCTCTGCTGCCCACACTGACAGACAACCTCCAGGAGCCCAACAGTCCCAACTGCCAGGCCCTGGGTTGCCATGGCGACAGAAGCTGGCCAGGCAGAGGGAGGGGCCCCACGAACCTGCCTGCTCCCGCCCCCTCCCACTCCAGCAAGGCAGGGGAGGGGGGTGCTCACTGTTTGTGCTTTGTTCGATGTTGGGTGGGGGTCGGCAAGCGGAGGAGTGGCCATTTCCATGGAAACATGGGAGCCCCTCTAGTCAGAGGACGGGGCAGGGATGGGCAGCTGAGAGGTGGTGGGTGAGTAAGCCTGGGAAAGCCCTCCTTCCCCTGGGCAGGCCAAGATGCTGCCTCGAGATCCATAACAGGGGATCAGGCAGGTGGGAGGCCAGGATGTGGGGACACAGGCAGGAAGACCCACCCCCCAATACCCTGCCTCCCCACTGCTCCCAGGCATCACAGTTCACTGCTGTCCTTCTGGCATAAGGAAGGGTCCTAGAGGCCAAGAGAGGCTAGGGGGCTGGGGTGAAGGGGTCTGCACCTGAGAGGCGGTGGGAGTGGGCCCACCTGCTCTCTTCTCAGACCCCAGAAGCAGCCCCCAGGCTACTTGGAAGACACTTGAAGGGGGCTGGTGGAATGGCCCTGTGCCTCTGCTCCTTTCTTGCAAGCCAGACCTCCTGTCTCTCTTGGGTGCTGGCATGGGGGGGGCATGGCGAAGGACCACCAGCGTAATCATAGCTCCACACTTGGGGGCGTGGCCATGGGGCTTTCTAGAAAGGAAAAGCACCTGCCTGATTCTCAAGTCCCTCAGCCCCAAGAGACCACAGCTCTGGAAGGGGGTGGCGAGTAGACGAAGGGGCGGGGGGACAGCAAAACTGCCTAAACTGCCATGTGGCCCTGGAGCTATCACTTTCTTTCTCCGGCTCTCAGATTCCCCAGCCATAAAAGAAAGGAAACAAGGCCTAATGTCTGTCTGGTGCTCAATCCCCAAGTGACCTGTCCCCAGAGTCCGGGGGGGACCCTCTCTCCGCCCCAGACTCTTCTGCCCCACACCTGTCCCTAGTCCCAGAGCCCCAGACCCCACACCCCCTTGGGGCTTCCTGGCCTGCGCCCCGCCCTCCCCAGCCCGGCACACCCCCGCAGAGTCCCTGGGCAGCACAGTAAAGACGACTGGTTTCGGTATCAGTGTGTAAACTTGAAGGAGAACGTGTCTCTGTTTTCCTGTCCGTTGTTGTCGGGTGGTGGCTGTTCACAGTCAGGTGGTGGTCAGGTGTGTGCATGGGTGCGTGTGTGCGGGTATGCGTGTGCGTCCGCTCCTCGGCCCGGCCCCCAGCGCCACCCCCTCCCCCCTGCCCGGCTGCCGGGCCCTTCCCCGTGGGGGCCCCCCCCCAAACCCTCCCCCGTCCGGCCTCACCGGGAAGGAGAGGGTCACAGCTTCTGCTGGGCCGAGACCCCCTTCCAGTAATCGAGGATGTCGTGCAGGTCCTCGTCCTTGGCGAACTGGACCTTCTTGCGCAGGGCGTGGCCGGCAGCCACGTACACCTCCTCCCGGGGGTGCTTCTTGTAGGGCCGGAAGCGTTCCCAGATCTTGTGCGTGCTCTCGGAGGAGTACTCGGGGCTGGAGGAGTACCCTGAGTAGTAGTGTCTGGGGGAGAGCTGCGAGTAGGCGGAGTCCCGCTTGGAGCGGGTCAGCGGCTTGAGGAAGGACACGCGCTGGCTGAGGCTGTCGGCGCCCTCCTCGTAGTACAGGGCTGGGAAGCTGTGCCGGTGCTCGCTGCAGTGGTAGGCGGGCTTCACCTCCAGGTGGTGGACACCGCCGCCCCCGCCGCCCCCGCCGCCGCCCGCGGGCACCAGCGGGAGCCGGTCCAGCGGGCTGTTGAGGGGGCTGCCCTTCTCGATGTACTTGGAGTCGCCCTTGGCCAACCCCGCGGCAGCCGGGTGGTCGGGCACGTCCAGGCTGAAGACCTTGGCGCTCTTGATGGAGCCGCTGGAGGACACGCTGCAGGTCTTGCGGGCCACGGCTGCGTCCGCGCTCAGCTGGCGCTGCAGCGGGTGGTGGGAGCTCTCCTTGTAGGGGGGCGAGAGGAAGCTGGGCCGCTCTAGCGCCCCGGGGGCGGCGGCCGAGGACACAGCAGCCGCGGCTGCGGGGAGGGACTGGCACTCGAAGGCCAGCTCGGGGTCCCCGCCGCCGCCTCCCCCCCCCAGGAACGAGGCCGAGTCCAGCTTGAGGGCATCGATGCAATTGTTAATGATCTGGTTGACCTTGTCCACCTCCTTGGCGATGGTGGAGATCTCGGCGGCCGAGCCCTGGCCGTTCTCCAGGTCCGGGAGGTCGTCCTCGGGCCGGGCCAGGCCATCCCCGCCCGCACCCGTGCGCACCTCGATATAGTTGCCCTTGGTGGCCACCTTGGGGGTGTCCAGCCCGGCCTCCAGCGCCTTGGAGGTGGGCAGCTTCTCCCCGATCATGGAAGGGATGGACGACATGCAGGACACGGGCAGCACAGGGGGTTCGCCCAGCTTCTGGGCGGCGTGGACGACAGAGCCGGCGTCCACGTCCGCCCCGTAGCGCATCTCCAGGATGGTTTTCTTGACCTTGACCGACTTCTGCTTCTCCTCCTGCATCCGCCGCTTGCGCAGACAGTAGTAGACGGCGCCCAGCACAATGACCATGCCGAAGAGGCAGCCCAGGATGGTCATGATGTAGTGGGTGGTGGTGGAGGTGCTGGGCGCCAGGTCGCCCGGGACGGGGTCCCGCGTGGTGAAGGTCAGGCAGGTGTGGTTGAAGCGGCGGCTGTTGCGCAGTGAGGTCACACAGAACGTGTACTCGGTGTGCGCCCGCAGCTTGTCAAGCGTGACAATCTCCTTCTTGTTCTTGAGCGTCATAACGTCGGAGAAGTAGCTGTTGTTGTACTGGACCAGGACGTACATCTTGCTGTAGGGGTGCGGGATGATAACCACCAGGGTGGCCGAGGTGAAGGTCACGTGGTGCAGCTTGATGGCGGGCCCCGCCGACGCGTCCGTGGTGGACGAGGCCGGGGGCTCCACCGAGAGGATCTCGTCAGGATTGAAGCCCGAGTTCTCATCGGGCTCCCTCTGGGCGTCGGTGGAGTAGGGCGTGGGGTGGCTGGCGGGCCGGGCGGGCAGCGAGCCGTTGCGGCACTTGGCCTGGAGCACGGTGATGGCGTTGAGGCTGTGGTAGGGCCGAGGCACCAGCAGCGGGTAGCCGGCGAACTCGCGCGGGGATTCGCACTGTAGGCGGTCGTAGTTCTTGGTGACGTTGTTGAAGACCACCAGCCAGGCCAGGAAGCCGAAGAGGTCGCACTCACAGTTGAAGGGGTTGCCGGCCAGCTCGCACACCATGAGGCTGGCCAGGCTGGCGAAGGTGGCGCCGTCCAGGCGGCTGAGGCGGTTGGAGGACAGGTCGATGCTGATGAGGCTTGGGCACTCGGAGAAGGCGGCGGGCGTCACCACCTCGATGAGGTTGTGCTGCACGAAGAGGAACTGCAGGCGGCCCATGCCGCGCAGCATGCCCTCCGTCAGGTTGCTGAGCTTGTTGTAGCCCAGCTGCAGCACCTGCAGACTCGACTGGCCCAGGAAAGCGCCGTCCTCGATGTACGAGATCTCGTTCTTGGTGAGGTTGAGGTCCGTGAGGTTCCCGAAGCGGTTGAGCGAGGAGTAGAGCACGGCCTTGAGCTTGTTCTCATTGAGGCGCAGGTCGTGCACGGTGCTGTTGATGTGCTGCGGGATGGTCTCGTAGGGCGGCTGGTTCTGGCTGCAGATGGCCAGCCACACGTACCCCTTGTCACCCTCGATGAGCCAGCAGTCAGCGCGCACGGAGCCTGGCCGGCACACGCACAGCAGCGCGGCGGCGCACAGCCCCAGGCGTAGCATGGCGCTGGCCACAGCCCCCCACCCCACCCTCCGGGGAAGGCCGGGCTGGAGGGGCGTAGAGAGGGGGGCCGGGGCGTGGGGGGGGAGGACCTAGCAGCGGGAGGCTGGGGCTGGCAGCACAGTCCTCCCTGGGGCCGCCACCATCTTGGGGGCGACCCCTGGCACAGGGGCCCCTGGTGAGGAAGACACGGCCGGCGCCAACCGTGTGGTGGGGGGTGGGATGGGGGAGTCCTTGGTGGGTGCTAGCAGCAGGTGCGGGCCACTGGGACAGGGACACACAGCGGGACACACCCCCACCGCTTGTCTCTGGGAAGGTGCACAGGCTCTCAAGACTTGACTTCCTCTCCCTCCTCCTCCTCCTCCTCCTCCTCTTCCTCCTCCTCTGGTTCTGGGCTCAGAACTTCAGACGATTTCCACGATTCCCACGGGCAGCTGGAGAGGGAAGCTCAGAGGAGGGAGCACGAGAGACGGGGCAGGAAGGACGAGACCCATCTGTCACCTGGCTCCTGAAAGGCAGCACCGAGAGGGGGTGACAGATCAGTGGAAACTCAGAACAGCCCCACTAAAGCTCTAGCACAGGCCCCTGTCCCTTCTCTACCCCCTCCTACTGGGGGTCCTTGGTGCCAGCAGCAAGCGGGGGGGGGGGGGGGTCTCTTTTATGTAAAAGAAGGGAGGGTGGGGGGTGGCAAGAGAGGGAGAAGGGACCAAGAGGTCTGGAGGGAAGGACACAGAAGAAACAAGTAGGGACGGGGGACAGAATTTGAGGATGGTGGGCAGAGAAGGGAGACTGGACAGTGACAGGTCAGGTGCGTGTGTGCACACGCACAGACACAACACACACACACTCCCCAGCACTCCTGTCCACACTTGTCCACCTGCCAGCACAGAGACCCACATGCCCTCCCATGAGCCAGAACACCACAGCATGCCCACGGACGGCCTTATGCTGGACAAATGGGCCCATATGCACATGACCCCGTAACGAGGCAGGAACCTTCCAATCCAGGAGAGGAATTAAGAAGCCTAGCAAAATGCCTCCTCCCCTCCATGCCCAAAGATAAATAATTCATTTGTTGTGTAACCACTCTTGTTCCAAAAATAATCCCCTTGTCTCAGCTTCCATGGGGGAGGGGGAGCAGAGCAGCACGACTGTGGGCCCCCCCAAGCTGGGGGTCTCCCACAGAGGGAGGGCACGGGGACAGCTTCTTCCACACGTGGCAGCAGAGCCAAGGGAGAGAGGACGAGAGTCTGGGAAGCCAGACACACACCTCCCAATATCACTTCCCCAAAGCGCTTTCCATTATTGGGCCCCGATCTTGTAGTACAAGGTCTCAGGCAGGCGGAGAAGCTGGCGGCATCCCGAACAGTGTGGCCGAAACCCCGCATCCCCTCTGTGGCTGGAGAGTCAGAGGCCCAGAGAGGGGCAGGGACTTGCCCCTAGTCACACAGCACAGCCTGGGCAAGGATCAAGGATCTCTAGGCACCAGGAGTCAGGAGGTCTGGAGCCCCCTCTATCCAGCCCAATCAGCCAGAGGGATGGAACCATCTCTGAACGTTCTGCCAAACTGAAGTAGGGACCAGGTCCTGCCCAGCCATCTCATGGGGAAGAAGTACGGTGAGCCATGCTGCCCGTGCCCGAGATGCAGAGAACCAGCATTGGTAGCACAGGGCTCACAGCCAGCAGCCCCTCATTTTCCGGGGGGGGCACTGAGCCCCCAACCAGGGGACACCTGCCTCAATCGCCCAGCAAGCCAGACAGGGGCCGCTCAGCTGATGTGGCCCCAGCTCCCGCACAAGGCTCCCTCGATTTGCAGGAAGAGCCCCGTGCGCCCTCCCCTCGCCCTGGGCAGTGGCCAGGGCTATGGAGACCAGACCGGAGAAATCCACATTTGGACAAAGAAAGCCGGACACCGTTCACAAGAGCCACCTCTGCCTCACGCCCCTCCTCCTGGGAAACTCCAGGAAAGAGTGCATTGAAAAGGAAAAAAAAAAAAATGTATTAAACCTTTGCTGTTAAAGCAAAACCAATTTACAGCCCGGAGCCCCAGAGGGCTGAAGAGAGGAAAGGGAAGCAAGGACGGAAACAGTCCCTGAAGAAGTCCAGGCAGGCAGTTTCTGTGGAAAAGGGGGCAAGCGAACGGGACATTCGATGACCTCTCGGATTAAAGGCAGACGCGGAAGCTGTGATGATCCGGACCTCTAGGTGAGGCCGACTCACAGCTCCCAGTCCTCTGCAAGGTTGGTTCGGGCTGAGGGGCCAGATGGGGACTGGGGGAGGCGGGGTGATGAGGGGGCACAAGGAGATCGGGCAGGGACTGGCACCCAGGCGGCACAGAGCATTTCTGTCCCTGGCTGGGCTGCACAGCTCAGCACTCCCATCTGGCGTGGCTGATGGCTCCTTAGGGACTCAAGTTTCCTCCCCTGCCACTGGCAACAAGCTTATACTGGGAGAGGCTGAGGGGCCAAGCTCGCCAGGTCAGGGAGCCCTCCGTCTGCACCTCCGGCCCCTGCTGGGAACGTCCGGGGACCGCATTTGTATGCCAGTACACGCGCAGGTGTGCACTGGCTCAGAAGGCTGGCGCAGGGGCGCCTGGGTGGCTCAGTGGGTTAAAGCCTCTGCCTTCAGCTCAGGTCATGATCTTGGGGTCCTGGGATCGAGCCCAGCATGGGGCTCTCTGCTCAGCAGGGAGCCTGCTTCCTCCTCTCCTTCTGCCTGCCTCTCTGCCTAATTGTGATCTCTCTCTCTCTGTCAAATAAATAAATAAATAATCTTTAAAAAACAACACCACCACCGGCACAGAGGTGTGCAAGCAGACGCGTGCAAGTAGACGGATGTGCAGGCAGCCGTGTGTGCACACTCATGCCCAAGCAAGAGTCCAGGATCCGTGCATGTGCAGCCTGCCACTGGGAGTGCTCTGGGGTGAAGGTGAGCTCACCTGCGTGTGGAGCAGTGGGGAAAGGTGCACGTAGGGGCATCTGCAGGGACACAGACACATACCTGCTGATATGTCAACATGTTTCAGAACGTGTGAGTTCCCCTTGTTAACGTACGTGCGCACCTGTGCAACTAAGCCACACAGAGTGTCCCCCACCCCATTCCTCACGCCCTTCAGATCTGAGCTGCTCAAGCCAGCACCCCCAGCCGGGACCAGGGGGTACAGGGCAGAGCTGAGCTGGCTGGAGCTTCTGGAAATCTAAGGCCATGCTGAGGGATGTGAAGAGGCTGATGGTGGTAGGGGGTTGCTAGGAAAAGGATCCCAGGCTTAGGGAGCAGGGCTAGTCCTTTCTGACCTCTTCCCTTCCCCGAACAGTCCAGGGTAGACAAAAGCCCCCACCCCAGCAACTCAAGGTGACCCTGCCCATGGCCCTCTCTCTAGCACCTCTTGGTCTCCAGGATGGCCTGGCCCGGGGCCCAGCTCCCCTCACCCTCCCACCCCTTCCATGACTCAGACCGAAGGGGAGGAGGCTCCCCATCACCCCTTCCCGTGTGTGCGTCAGCCACTCGGTCCTGGTCCCTGGGCCGCCTGCCCACTACCCCTTGAGGCCTGACGCAGCCAGGGAAGGGGGACGGCAAGGGGAAGAAGTTGCTGAGAGCAGGACTTGGCCCCCTGCCCGGGTGCACACCTACTTGAGGTATGGGGGAGGGCTGCTGGCTCACACCTGGAGCTGGGGGTCCTCATGGTCCTGGGGATCCCCCAGCACACATGCCAGCAGCAGGAGCAGGGCCCTACCCCCACCCCTGGGGCGGTGGCAGGGGTGGGGGATGGCTGAGGAAAAGGAAGGAGTGAGGGAGCTGCAAATAGAAGGCCAGGCAGGATAGGAAAGCAAAATACGGAGACAGCCAAGCGGGGAGAGACAGAGGATGGAGATGAATGGAGAACGAGCGTCTGAGACAGGAACCAATCAGCAGAGAGGCTCAGGGAGATGATGGAGGGCATGGAGCCTGCTGCCCACCCACCGGGGCAGAAATGCCGCCAGTGCCCAGCTCGCAGGGAGGGGCAAGCAGCCGGAAGCAGCTGCCAGAAGCAGAGGCCGTTGCTGCCCTGTGCCAGGGGTTTTAAACCTGGGAGAGCCTGGCCCAGCTTCCCCCCTTCCCAGCTGACCCAGCTTCTCCTCCCCAACCCATGCACTGGGCCTGCCCCCCCCAACCCGCCCCCCGCTCCGGCCCAGGGGGCACACTGGTGTGGCAGGAACAAGAGACCTCTGGCCCGAGCAGGGGCAGGCCCCCCTCTCTCCAGCCAACACAGAAAAGTTGGGGGGCAAAGTTGGGGGGTGCAGCGTACTGCAGAGGGGTCTTGGGGTGGGCCCCCAGTCTGGCTGGCTACAGATGTCCCTTGTTGTGGGGACACCCTGGATGGTGAGGAGGAAGGAGGGTCAGCAAGCCCTGACAGGTCTGAGGGGCACAGCTCAGCCGGGGTCTCCATTCAGAGCCACAGAGCATGAGTGACCCTCAGCAAATTCCACGCCCCCCGCCCCGTCTCTGGGCCTCGGCAACCGCCCCCAGAAGCCACTGGTTTATCCAGCCGGCCTCTATGCCCTTGTCCTCCAGGTGCCACGAGGCTCGGGGCGCCTCCATGAACTCTGAATCCTACAACTTCAGAACTGGAAGAATGAGGGGCCCTTGCTCCACCCCGTCCCAGCCCTTCCCAGAGGGGAAAGCGGACACCAGGGCCAGGGAAGGGTCCCATGCTGCTGGTGGCAGGTCAGGCTCAGGCCCCAGGGCGGCAGTGGCAGACCTCGATCTGCCAACCCCACATCCCTTCTGGGAGCTTTCTGCCCCAGAGGGGCGCCCCCCACCCAGCTTAACCCAGGACATTGCTCCAGAGGCAGAGCGCACTTTCGGGCACCCAGGGCAGCTCCTCAGAGCAACCCCTCCCTGGGCTGAGTGCTGCAGGCTGAGGTCTGCGGTGGAGGGGGGGGGGCGGGAGGTGGGGGAGCCAGGATCAGCAGGGAAGGCGAGAGGAAGGGCTGCCACCTGCGTGGGCTGCTGAGTGCCACCTTGCTATCTCACAGGGCTCCCCCGAAATCGCAGGCCGTGGCGGAGACAAATACACTGGACAGGGCAGGAAGCTACCGTGGGGACACTGCTGGAGCAGATGTTGGTGGGAGCTGGGGAACAGGTGGAGTGGGGAGGGGTGCGGTCCATGTTCCCACCTCCCAGGAGCAGGGACATGAGGGTGGACCGGGGAAATCTCATTTGCAGCAGCTGAAAGCCCTGGCCTGGATTCTTCCCTGGCCAGGCTGGCCAAGGTCCCCTGAGGTGCCATTGTCACTGTCCGGGTCAACGCCATTACCCAGGATTAGGAGGCCTGAGGACTCCTGGGACCCAGCCAGAACTCATGGGGCAGGCAGTCACCTCACCTCTGTCTACTGAAAGACAGCACCAGGCCCGGGGTCCCCTCTGCCCTCTGGGACAAAGCCTGCCATCCCTGGGGGATCTGGACAATGAATCTTGTCACTGCCTCCACCGAACTGAGGTTCCCCGGGGCACGCCGCTCTGGGCCTCAGTTGCATCTACGAAATGGGATCATTATACCTCCACCATGGAATGGCCATTTGGCCATAAACCATTTGGATTTCAGGTACAATGAGCCCCAGCTACAGGGCAGAGAGTAAGAAGTATGGATGTTGAAGGCAAAGGGTCCTGGGATTGAATGCTGACCTGTGTGACATAAGGCACATTAATGAACCTCTCGGGGCTTCAGTCTCCTCACCTATAAGATAGTCATAACTATCCCTTTGGCCGACATTGCACAGTCCTTGAATCTTCTATCAATCCTGAGTGACTAGGGCTATTGGTCTCATTTTACAGATGAGAAAACTGAGGCTCTCTCCTTCCCCGGCCTCCTCTAAAGAGCTGGGCTCATGGCAGGGACTGGACATGCATGGGCTGCCCAGGGGCTCTCCTTCCCCTTGTGTATGCACCTTCTTCCCTATTAGGAAAGTGTCCACAAGCCAAAAGAAACTTCAATCTCTCCATCATTGGGAAGTACTTATCCCAAGCCAGCGATGTTCCTCAACCCCCTCCCCCAGGCACAATTCTACCTCAGGGCCTTTGCACATGCTATTCTCGCTCCTAGAATGCTCCTCCCCCAGTGTCTGCACAGGCCACTACCCCCACTTCATTCAGGTCTCTACTCAGCTGCTCCCCTCAAGCCCACCTTCCCTGAAACCAAACCTGGCTTGGCTCCCTTCAGAGCACTCAGCAATGCCAGACATCACTTGGTAATTAATTATCAGCTGCCCTCCCCACCCCCACCCCCCCATCATGAAATCAAAGCAGGCTTTATTTTGTTCACAACTATAATTAACCTCCATGCCTGAAACAAGGTCAGACATGCAGCAGGTGCTCAGAACATGGTGTGTGGAATGAGAGCTCAGGGTTAGGGACGGGGACGGAAGGCAGACAGAGATCCTGGGGTCCCTGACTCCACTGAGTCAGGATGTCACATATCAGAAGGAGGGGCCCCACTGATGGGGTGCTCATGGGGTGCAAGAAATGCACTGAGCCTTCCTGTTAGCCTCATGAGCCCCCCTTATGCTTCTCATCTATAGATGACCAAACGGGTTCAGAGAGATACAGTGAGCTGCCCAAGACCACACAGTGGGGGAATCTGGGCCCACCTGAGCTCTTAGAACTACCAGACTTTTCCCAAATTCCTGCAGAGGTAACACTCCCCAGCTTGCATGTCCCCGGTGACAGGGATCTCAGCATCCATCGGAAGCTGCTTAAACCCTTCTTGAACAGATCTGATGGTTACAAATTTCTTCTTCTATTACAGAGCCAACTCTGACTCCTTGTACCTCTGTTCATTGGTCCAAGTGCTGTCTGGAGCCACTGAGAACAAGGCCAATATCCCCCCCTTAAAGGCCCCACCATTACCTCACACCCCTACAATCCACTTCTCCAGGCTACACAGCCTCACGTCCTCTCCTCTTCCTCCACTGGGGTTTCAAGTCCCCAGCTCTTGGATCCAGCTGCCCCAGGTCATGCTTGCTGCCAAGGACGGCCCTAAAATGTGTCACCTAGAGCTCAGCATCATGCCAACGTGGTCCGAGCTGTGATGGGCGCCAGGGCCCCCGGCCTCCCTCGGTTTGGCACCACACTTCAGTTAGAGCAGCGGGAGTGTGCACACCCGCCTTGTGTCCTCACCTCGTCCTGGATGTCACCCAAAGCCCTGGGCCCCTTCACACATTCCACCGGGGAGCCCCCGTGCCCAGACCGTCCTCAGGCAGCTCTGGGCAGTAGGAGTCTGGGCTGCCCCCGAGGTGCCGGGCTCCGTCCGTCCCCCTTCCATCACGTCTCGTTAGGCTCAGCCCTGCTCGCGGCGGTCCCCCATCTCGGGGGGGCTGGCTTCTGCCCCTTGAAACCTTGGTGCCGGCTCCCGGCTCTGCACCTTCTGGGGCTGGGCCAGCCGACCATGGCTGCATCCGTATCTGTGTCACAGGGGACACGGGGACCCACTGCCCACTCGCCCACCTTCCTGACACCTGGGCGTGAATTCACCGCACACCTACTGGGGGCCCGGCCTCGAAGCAGACATGCACGCCTTGCCTTCACCAAGCTTCCGGCTCACCTAGAAGAGCTGAAGGAGAACGCCACACCATGCCACCCCAGCAGTGAAGGCTGAGAGCTACGGGGGGGCAGGGGAGGAGGAGGGGGGGCTACTTAATTGGGTTTGCACGGCTTCAACACACAAGTACCAGCCTCCAAGCCCGGCAGCCTCAGCCAGGGAAGGGGCCTGGGCTCATCTGCGGTGTCCTGGGCGGTCACATCACACTGCTGGCTGGCTCACTGTGTGACCACGGGCAGGTCAGCGCCTTGCCCCTCTGGGCCTCAGTTTCCTCATCTGTGCAGGGGGAGAACAGCTGCGCACTGGTATCTCTCTGGTTTACCAGGAAACCATCCCCCTCCACCAAAGCCCTCTGGAAACTCCCCACCGAGTCATCACCCATGAACGCAGCTGCTCCCGGGGCTGCCATGCCCATCATTAGCATCATTAGCATCATTAGCACTGCATCGTGTCCACACCTCAGTGGGAGGAGGTAAGCAGGAAGATGGGAGGGTTTTTACCAAAAGGCTCTGGTCTTGAAAAACTACCCAGAAAAACTGACCACAGAGGCCTGACACCAGTTCTCTGGAGAGCACTTCACAGATGGGCCACTCCCTGGCACCCACTGCCCAGCCCTGAGCAGCCCAGATCCCAGACCACCTACCGCCAGGCCCTGGAGGGGAGCATGGGATCCTCCCGCCCAAAGCCAAGGGTGACCTGTGTTAAAAGTTCACCTCCTAGTCCCACCCCAGGGGTTACCTCTGGCTTTCCCAGAATCCTCCAGGCTATTCAGAGAACTGCCTTTCCCAGCTCACCCCTGCCTCCTCCAGCTGATCCTTGCCCTCCCCTGACATACCCACCTGTCCCCTGCCCCCTACCTGACCCATCCCCCAACCGACCCCTGACCCCCTCCCTGGGTCCCTGCCTCCCTGGCTGACCTCTGCCCCTGGTCCCCACCTCCCCGACCTGACCCCAGCCTCCCGACTTGGCCCATGACCCCCCCACCTGGCCCCTGACCTCCCCATACCTAGTCCCTGACCCCCCCCCGCACTGGGCCCATGAACCCCCCCACCTAGTCCCTGACCCTCCCACCTGGTCCCTGCTGGCCTCTTGAACTTGGCTCCAGCAAACCCCAGGCCCCGCTCAGCTGCAACCCCGGGCACTACTCACCAGTCTCCACTGGACCCGCTCTTTCACCAGTGCCTGCACACGCGCGGCTGCCTCTGCCTGCATGGCCTCCATTCATTCATTCAATAAACATTTATGGAGCACCTACTATGTACCAGGCACCGGCTAGGCCTGCCCTCCCAGCTCTGCCTCCTCCGCCTGCTTCTCCTCCAGGGCCCCAAGGAGTGACCAGTCCCTGCCTTCCAACACCCTCAGGGCAGTCCCAAGGTGGGGTGGCCCACGAGGAGCCCACCGGGAGAAGGGGAGGCTCCGGGGGCACCAGGAGCGGCCCACTGGGAGGCAGCCTGGCGGGGGAGGGATGGGCAGCCTGGGGCAAGGGGGAAACAGAGTCCTGGCTCCCTCCCGGGCTGGGCCTAAGCACCTCTCACGTTAGCTCATTTGCCCTCCTCTGCACAACCTCAGTTATCATTCCCACTTTACAGAGGAGGAAACTGAGGTCTCACGACTCCTACACAGGGGCTTTGACCCTCCATGGCACCAGGCTCTGGGTCAAGGGATGCTGTAGGATCCTGTTTCATCTGGATAATGCTTTAAAAACTTTTTTTTTTTTTTGTATTGAGTTGCCAATATTGAAAACTTCCGTGATTTCATTTCAAAAATCCCTGTTTCTCATGGAACAACCTGGAAGTTCTGGCTGCTCAGGATCCGCATCCCTGCAAGGACAGAGCAAATGCCCATTCTCCTCCCTGCCTGTCTGGCTGCGTTGCCCTCTGGCCCTGGCGCACTGGAGCTTGGGAGACCAGCCACAGAGGGAACCTCAGCGTGGAATAGTTAGAATCCCAGCCTTGGGGTGGGGGGATCCCATGAGCCTCCTGGTGTGGGGCCCAAGAGCACCTTTGTCCCTGCCTCCCTCTTCTGTGGCTCTGGGACAGACAGCAAACACCCCCTAGCTCTAAGCAGGCCCACGGGGGGGACCCCAAACTAGGGGAGCACGTATACACTCTCCCAGATCTGCTCGTCATCCTAGGGGACCAGCCTTCTAATGATGCTGCCTGGGTTCCTGGGTCAGGAACCTGACCCAGGTTCCTGCTGAGGTTTGAGGTTTACTCGCTCCAAACACAATTCCTAACCCATAAAACACTACCAGCTAAGCCTGCTGTGCCCACCAGGAGGCCTGAGGCCTCAGTTGCAGAAGCCACACCCCACAGACAGCTTTAAGTTCACCCCCTCCCCCCAAGTAGGGCCTGCAGCAAAGGGCTCTGGGGTTTCTGGGATGGCCACATGCTCCCACCCCTCTCCCCATAGACTTTGAGTTCCCCTAACTCTGCTCACCTAGGACACCTGCCCACCCTCCCACTGCCTGTTGCAGGTCCAGCACCCAGGGCCTGTAGCCAGCCAAAGGTGCAGCCCAGCCCAACCATGAATCAGGCAGAAGCAAGGGGACCCTCTCCTGGCCCTGGGGTAGCTTCTCTGGAGCGGGTGGGGGAGCCCCCAGGGGCCTGCAGCTGTGGCCTCAGAGAACAAGGAAGCTCTGTCCATGCTGGAAAAGCCCCGGAAATGCGGGGCAGGGTTGGGGGGGCACCCCATGACTGCCGGCTGCGTAGAAACCATGGCCCAGGGCGCGTGGCCACCAAGCCACCCTCCAACAGCATGGGCCTGTCATCTCGGGGTGGGGGGGGTCCTCTGATGGTAAGGCTGAGCCTCAAGAGTCCTATACCTAGCTACAGTTCCTTTGTCCTGAAACTCAAGGGCAAGCCAGGGACACCGGTGCCCCCTCCCATTCTGCTGGAAGGACGGGCCACGTTCAGCTCCGATCCTAGCTCTGCCACCCACCCCACATCGTGGCCCCCTGAGTCTTAGCTTCCTTTTCTGTACAATGAGACTAGAAGGGCACTCCCTCAGAGGGCGGTGAGTGAACAGCTACGGAGCAGAGTCTGGCCCACAGTAAGTGCTCAATAAACTCAGCAGCCCCTAGTATGGTCATGGCACCCTGGCTTTGGGGGAGGCGGGGGGGCGGGGGTGCCCAGAACACAGCAGGTCCTCATCACCCACTGCCCTACGGATGGCAGCCAGGAAGGGAGGAGGCCTGGCCCCCAACGGTGTCTTCCTTTCAGTCTGAAGGGCAACACACCCCTCTTTACCTGTCCCTGTCCCCTCTCACAGGTCCGGCCCCCCAAAGGCCTGCACCCACCCCCCCTTCTGCCTGCTCCCAGCCTCGGTTTCTCTCCCATTGCCAAAGCACAAGGGCTGTTATAATTAACGGATTATCTCAGTGCGACAGCTGTGGTCCTTTGAAAATTGGGTTGAATAACAAGATCCTGGCGTATGGTAATTTCTTTTCATCTCCTGCTCCCCCTTTCTCTCTCCCTCACTTTAGCCTTGTTACGCATGCAAATGCTCTTCCCGAATATCTTCCTCCTCGGGCTGGCATGGTGAGGGGACAGACTAGGTTCTGCTTGCTGGCCAATGACTTGTGGGAACTGACCCTTCTGGGCCCCTCCCGTGGGTCTGGCACTGGGCAAAGCGCCTGACACATATGACTTGTGCCCGCCCCCTCCGGGGCAGGGCAGCCCAAAGTCCCTACATCTGGCTTCTCCTCCTACCTCCCCTGCCCTCCCCCTCCACAGGGGCCTCCCCTGAGGTCCAGGTCCTGGCCCTCAAACAACCCCCCAAAGCCTGCTCCCCGCCCCTTACCCAGCATCTCAGCCCCTCCCGACGTTTCTGTTATCCCTTAGGTACTGACCAGACCCAAACCCCGCTACCCCAGCTGCCTCCTGTCCCCTTCCACTGTCCGCCCACTGCCCACTCCTGCTTCTGCCCTGAGCCAGCCAGAAGCCCACAGCTGCCCAGCCCCTCAACACCTGGAAAGCTGCTGTGTACGCCCTCCCACTGCTCTGCCCTGGCTGCCTCAGCCTCCTTCCTTGCCCAAAATGAATTTCTCAATCAGCATCCTCACTGGTCTGTCTCCAATCTAATGGCCTCCTTCAACCCATCATCCAGCAGAGGACAAGCCTCCTAAAGGCTAAATCTGAGGGTAGCACTTCCATCCTCAAAAGTCTACTGATCTGGTAAGATTCTAACAGCAGACCTCGAAAGTCAGCTCCTGGGGTCCTGCGGAGCAGGTCCCTGCTCTCCTCTCCTGCCCTCCTGCTTTCTCAGCCAAGTAAACCAGTCTGGTTAGGGTCCCTCCTGTAGGTTCCCGCAGCCCGTAGGGTTTTCTCCCATCACCACCAGAATCGGAACTGCTCTTTTTACCCCTGGGCTGAGTTCTTTGAGGGAGGGCCAGATTCCCCAGGAAAGCCGAGCACCAAAGACCCAGGAGGTAATAAATATTTAGTAACAACTGAATGAAGGAGGCCTGCCCTCTCCCTTGATAGATAAGGACACCGAGGCTCAGAGTAATTAACAACTTGCTCAAGATCACACCTTTTGTGCGAGACAAAAACCAGGATTTGAACCAGGTCTGGACTCCAACGCCAGCCTTTTCCATTTCCTAGAGAGGGCTGCAGGGGTCACCCTCTGCACAGATCTCGGGGAAACTGAGCCTCCCTCCAGCCTCCGCTGGACTATAAGAGATGGGGCTCCCTTGAGTTTGACTGTCAGCTAGCCCCATGACTCCCAGGGCCTCAGCCTGCTCATCTGTAAAGTGGGAAGGAGCCCCCCTTCACCCCATCTCAGGGGGTGACTGAGGGGGCAGAAACTCCGGTCTTGGAGAAAGCCCATCCGGCTAATAACATCTGGGGGTCTTCCCACCCTCACCTCAAACCCGACTGCGTTGCCCCTGGGAGGCACTCCTCAGAGCTTGGGGTTGGGTGGGGGTGGGGTTCCTAGGATGGGAGACATCACACAGGACAGAGAAATTCCTCAGGGAGAGCCACTGAGAAGCGCAGGGAGTCTGGGCAGCAGATCGTGACCCTGGGCGAGAGCTTCCCTCTCGGCCTCCACTTCCTCATCTGTGAACTGGGCCCATTAATGCCCACTTTACAAGGCTGCAAAGGGGACTAACCGTGCAAAGTGCCCAGCACGGGGCGGACACTGCCATGGCCACAAGGTGCTATGGAAATGTGATCGTGAAGTGTAACCCCGGGGGGAAGGAGAGGAGAGGGGGCAAGACAGAGCAGGACCATTCATTCCTGACTCTCTACCCTCAACAGCCCACAGAATAGAGCTCACACCCCAACATGTCGCCCTTGGGCCCCTCCCCCGCCCAGCTCCTACCCCATGACGTCCCTTCATAACCTGGGCAGCTGTTCCTGAGCCTGGGATGCCATTCCCGCCCTTCCCCACCCCCTGTAGCCCAGACCTCACGCCTCTTGCTCCAAGAAACCTTCAGATTTCCTCTGTGCAGGGAGAATAGTGGTCTCCCTGCTCTGCCCCCATCCCTTGATTCCATCCCCACGGAATCCAGGAAGGATCCTAGAGATCGTCTCACCCCATCTCACCTCCCTCCTGTTGTACAGATGGGTAAACTGAGGCACAGACGAGGGACAGCAGCTCTCCAGGGATACAGTTGAACCCAGGCATCTCTGCTGCTTCCAGCCCTGCACGCAGCTTCTCTCCTGGTGCCGAGCCGTTCAGCCCTTACCAGTCTTCTCCAAGCCCCACCGCCCCCAGCCCGGAGCTACCTGAGGACGGGACCCCATCTTCCTCTCTGCTCCCCAACCCCAGTGCCTAGCCTAAGGCCTGGCGCATAGTAGGCACTCAGTAAATGTCTGTTGAATTGAATTGCGCTCAGGGCGGCCAGTCGTCTCTGCTCTGTAAGAAAAGCATAGAGTTAGTGGAGCTGTCCCCGTGGCAACGGGGGTGGGAACCAAGCTGGTGGGGGCAAGGAGTCCGGCCTGCCCCCCGAGGACCCTAGGGGCCCTGAGAAGCAGAGGGGGGATGAGAAACTAAGTCCAAATTGTGCCCCAACAGGCAGCATGGCCCTGGCAAAGTCAGGGCACCCCGGGGCCTCAGTGGCCTCAGCTGTCCAACGGAGAGGACACTCTAGTCCCCCATAGGCTCTGAGGACTGTCTGGGACAAGAACCAAAAGAGACGGGAGGAGTGTAAACATTGACTCCCAGCTCACAAGCGTCCAGCACTCTGTGCCTGACACGCGAAGCCGGATGAGACTTCTACCCAATTCTACAGATGGGGAGACTGAGGCTCAGACAAGGGCCGCGTGCCCAAGGCCACGCGGCCCACGCCCCGGGGCCCATGCTGTGTACATAGTCTCTCTGCAGAGCTGGAGGGCAGTGGGGTAGAACCAGCCCCAGACAAAGACCTTGAACCCACCAAAAGGGGGCCCGAGCACAGGCCCAGACCGGCAAACATTATCCAGGCAAAAGGCCCAGCGTGAGCTCCAGAGCCGCGAAGGGCAAGATGAGAAGCCACGTTCTCCCCTCCCCATAGGGGCGAGCTCTGATTCCACAGCCCCCAGGGGGTTCAAAGCTGTCCTCAGATGCAAAGGCTGCAAAGGCCTCTTTTGCAGAAGGCCCTGGTGTTAATATAGATTGGGAGAGACTATAAATACCCAGCCAGGCCAAGCACGGCAGAGGACTGCACCGGGACCAGCCCGGTAGGGGCTCTAACCCCAGCCTTGCCCCACAGCCCTCCCCCCACCCTGGGACCTTAGTCTCCACAGGCTACACTCTGACCAGGATAGCTCGGGTTCTTTACCCAACAGGCTACAGTTCTGTGGCCCAGCCAGGCTGGCGAGGCAGGGCAGGGGGTGGGGGCGCCTTTCTGGGCCCAGAGCGGAGATGTGGGAAGGAAAAGAGGAGGCCACGAGACAGCCTCCCCCTGGATGCACCTGGGACAGCCTGGCCTAGAGCCCGGGAGCCCGAGGCAGGGGCCCAGACAGTAGCCACCCATTCAGTCCCTCCCTCGATCCGTCCTCCAGCCACCTTGAGAGTACCTCCCGCAGGGAGCCAAGGACCCACAGCCAGGACACAGCCTCGGGTGGGAGGTCTAGCGGGGAAGCCCA